GCAGGGGGGGGACGGGGGGCTGCCGGCACCAGCGGCAGGGGATGCCCGTGCCAAGAGTGGGCACCTCATGGCACGAGCTGGAAGCCTCAAAAGAAATATGAACACAAGACGGGAAGGGCTGGCCACGCGCGGAGGCCACAGCATCCCCGTCCGTCTACTGGCTGCCCTCGGGGTCTGACATGTGGTTTTTCACCTGGAAGAAAAGACACACAGCGGTGTGTGCCCAGGCAGCAGGATCAGACCTGGCACCTGCCCGGCACAGGGACCCCTGGTGACCCACACCCAGCTGGGGGATGCGCGTGCGGGAGCAGCAGCTTTGACACAGGGTATTTCTCCTCCGAGTGGGGTTTGCAGCCTGTGCTGCTGGGGTAATGTGCACACAGGGGTTGCTCTAGGGTGCTCGGGGTTGTCCCGGAGGCATGGGCGGTTGTAGCCTGGGCACGTGGCCGGCACGGCTCGGGGAATGCTGATGGAGCATCTCCTCTGCTCCGGGAACCCCCACCAGGACTCACACAGGCAGGAAGTGGGGATGAATTTAAAGACAGCAGAGAGCTCAGCACAGGATCTGGCCCTTCTCTTACCGTCTCCTCCGTGTCCGTGCTCTCCTCGGCGCTGTCGATGTTGCGCAGGTCGCTGTGCCCATCGGCTCCCGTTCCCTCCTTCCCCCGGGGCTCCTGTGACCCCTCTCCCGCTGGGGACGGCGACTCTTCTCCCGTCTCTGCCCTCTTCTTCTCACTCTCTTTGGACCCTGCAGGGACAGAGACAGCAGAAATTTGGGGTACCTGTGCAAACATCAGCCCTATCCTTGCGGGGTCCCCAGGACTCTGCCCTACCAGCCCAGGGAAGGAGGAGGACACAGGGAATTTACGGATGCCCAGCTCCCTCCTCGGCACCCAGGGAGGGACTCCTTACACCTGGATTGGGGTCCAGCCTCGCATGCATCCACAGGCTGCCCAGCACAGACACGTGGGTGTCGAAGGACCTACGGCCCATCCCCTCACCCGCGAGACGCTCTCTCCTCTGGTCCATGCGGTCCAGGCTCTCCAGCAGACTGTCCACCTGCGCCTTGATCTGGCTCAGCTCCCCCTTGATGGAGTGCAGCTCTTCGGCCCGCACTGCGGGGAGAGGAGCCATTAGGATCCCACCCTGCCCTACAGCTCTCCCAGGCAGCCACCTCCAGACCATCCTCCTCTCCGGAGCATGCTCAGGGAGCAAGGATGGCTCCAGGGGACAGCCACCTCCGGAGTATCCTCCTCTCTGGAGCATCCTCAGGGAGCTAGGC